TCTTGCTCCCTCTCCACTCGAAAAAGTGCAGGATAATGATAGTTGACAAATATAAAAGCAGTTCCAGTTCTTACTCTGTCACCTAAACATGGAACAAGATTTGGTAGTTACTCTGAGTGAAACACTTGGAGCTCCTAAGCTGCACCTGGTATAATACTGGACGATCAGAGGGGAAATGATCATAATGTGCCGCGTCGCCCATAACCCCCTTCATCCTGACAGATTCCTCTTAAGCTTTGGTCAGAAACGCCGTCTTAGAAGTCACTCGTTAGGAATAATTCATGAGAGAACACGCACAAATCTGTGCTAACTCGTTTGCAGTTAGAATTTGTAAACTGTGGAATTCCCTTCCCTCAGCAGCTGTTACAGCTGCATCCACTGATACAGTTAAAATAGGGTTAGGAGCGCATCTAGAGTCTTGTGGTATCTATGAGATGTACTCGAGAGGCATTCCGTCATCTATAGATCAGTTGGGGTGATACTACCTTGAGTCCAGATTAATTAATAGTCGATTGTTTTCGTCTTTTCAGGCTTCTTGGAACCAAGAAGACAAGTGTGACCATTCAAAAACAAAGAACACACTCCAATAAGATAGACTTAGAACTCAAGGAACCACAGTTCACTAATTCTACAGCGCGAAGTTTGAAGTTGCCCTAATTTGAGCGGTGGTTCAACACGTGCGCTATGTCATGCATCTTGTAGTGTCTGATTAGGCTTTAGTTTCCGACTGTCAACTCTGCTTGTCATTTCCTTTCGTTTTTAAGGTTAGTTGTGTTTTGCACCTACTTCGTCTAATGTTTTAGTTCAAATCATATGTTTTTAACTTTTATTTGTTTCCAGTTGTCTCCCACTGTGAAAGCAAGGGTGTCTTAATTGAAGCATAGTATCTTAACCAGTACATTTTCAGGTATTCACGTTTATAAGTAAGTCCTATACATATGGGGACTCCATACATGTACGTGTATGGAATTTATTGAAAAGTGTTTCAAAGTTTGCATTCACTCCTAGATTTCCACTTATGTCTGGAATTCAGTAACTAAACATTGATACCTCACCATTTTTCTTTCACTCTTCAACGTAAAAGGTCGTAAAAACCGCCTTTTTGTTCTCATTATTCGAAGCAACTGATCTTTTAGAAAGACTGTGCGATGTCGATCACTGAGACATCAGATTGTATTTCCTAGCTGAAAACGTTTAATTGGTGCAACTAGTCCAATAATAAACGTATCTAAGTCAGCTATTAACAGTGATCTATCATCATTGCTGTTAATTACCTCGCAATTCCTCAGCAAGTTACAACACTCGGAATCCTAATGATTTCGAAATAAAGCCGTGACCATGTCGATGACCTGCATAACAATGACTCCTAGATATTGTCTACGATTTGTTCATACAGACAATAATAGATGAAATACTCCAACTGGCTTTTATCTGTTCTTACTTTCTCAGCTTCGTTGTAGATGTACTAATGGATATAACTTTCTGTGCCTCTGACGTCACGCTTTTATCTACTGCCTAAAGGGCATCTAGTTGTTTTTGAGTACGCAGACGGCGAAGATGCTGACAAAATACAGTTTTCTGAATGCCTTGGCATGTGAGATCTGTCAGTATGAGATCATACTTGTCCCACTTGTACTTTATATGCTATTATGGTGTGGCAACTGATGCACTTCTCACCTAGGTTCTTCGTTGGTTTTGTGTCTCCGCGATTGCTTGCTATCCAGTCAGACATTCAGATATTTTTAACCCTTTCAAAAGTTAAGAATTCCATATGTAACTTGAAATGAGGAAGGGTAGCGGGCTTCTATGGTTTGTCCCGGAAGTATTTGAAGACGTTAGTCAAAGGTTATTGGCTAGAATAACTGAAATGTCAGCTGGCGAGTGGGAATCAAATAAGATTCCCTCTGACTGGTCTTAGTCGCCGATTGTCTCAGTTTTCAGCAAAGGAAGTTGGTAAGTGGATCGAGCAAATCGACCAATCAAAATGTACTTCGTGTTAATTATGACTATGTTTGGACTTACAGACAATCAAAGGATGATACGATTTTTAAGTGCTGGACAGTATCTATATTTTGATATATTCTCGTTTCATTGATTACTTTGGGTTTTCTGTCTGAACACGTCTTTCTGCTCGTCTCATTGTGTTTTCCTTACCGATTAGTCGAGTCAAAAATGAAATAGGAAGTTGCAGAACGTTGGCTAGCAGCAGATATACGTGCATCGTTAGCGGTTATATCAGTTTAGAACCACGATAGAGTAGGAGCTCCTGTGGCAACCGCAGAAGAATCGGTGACTAGTAGTGTCTATTTTAAGTCCTGTAATCGTTGGGTGCTCTAGTGAACTTAAGTAACAAGAACTCTCCCCCCCCTCAAAAAAAATTAGGCAGTTCTCGGACCTGGCCCTCGATGTACCGACCAAATACTCACCCTCTTCTAGACCTTGGCAGTCTGTTACTGAAAGTAGTGCCAGGTTCTATATTTAAACTCCTGGGGTTGGGATAAGGTGTATGGAGATCTCTTAGTTGAGTTCTGTGCTTCATTTCATGTGCCCCAGGGGACTTAGTAGACGTTAAGAACACAGAAGAGTCTTAAATGAGGACGCTTAGGTCGGGTCTTCTTGACATTTTGAATGACATTAATTGTTTCACATTAGATGTCTGTTCGACATCGTACACAGCGATAGTGTTATTGGCTAGATAACTTCGGACACATTGCTCATAATCATATCAATGTAGTCATATAACTTCCTGACTTGGGTTTTTATAGTTCTGCTTTTCGTATTTGGATTTCATTGGTGGTTGGACTTTCCGTATGTCTGGAGTCGTTGAGTTGTTAAGCGTGCTTGGCGTTGAATCGATGGATTCATTTAACGTAGCTACATTATTCTTTCGAACTTACTGGACCCCACCCTATTATGGTTGTGCCTTAGCGCGTGCACAGCTATGGCGGAATTCTTATGCAGACTACTTATTTTAGTGAGGTCTATGAACTTCAATGTAGTTGGGTTACCGTTCTCCTAGTCTAAATGACCCCCATTGACCAGTTTAATATACGTACTTGGCGTCAAACCCATTATAGGTTAATAGGGTTAATAAAATTATTTTATCCAATTAAGTCGATAGAATCCTCAAGCAGACAAAGTTTTTCTGTGGATTTATAGGCTTTGAGATATTTATGAGGGCTCATTAGCAAAGGAAAAGTAAACATTTGAGCAATGAATACTGCACGGATAGGGAGTAGTTCAAGGTCTCTCTACTGCTGCCATATAAAGAAGGAGCATCTAACACCGGACGAGGGATTCTCAGCATGGTGTGGATTAAGGTGACATTTAAGTTCACAAATTCACTCATGAGAAATTCGCGGGTTTATGGGTTCTGTTGGTCCAACTTTATTGACTGATTACTGTGTAATGACAAAAACAGCTTCATCTAGTCTGTTGACCCTTTCAATATGAACAATATAAGGAAAAAAATCAGCAATAGCTTTGAACGCATAAAACATGTGGTGGGAATAATTCAACACCAATTCAAGATATGAAAAATCAATGAAATCAAAAGTGAAAGATACAGCTATGAAAATGTGAGTACATAGGGTTACAGTTTACTGTGTGAGACGGCCGTCGAAATTGGGTATGAAATTACAGGTTTTGAATCACAGGTAGAAGATAACTATTGCAATAAACTGTAGATAGAGTGGATCAACGGAGGATTGCCACTCTTTCTGTAGTACCTGTTCGGACCTCCATCACGTGTTATTACGAGTTTCGGTGTGTCTAGGCCTTTCCATCCACTTGTTCTTTGCATACTACAGTGAAATGTAGCAACTTGGGTCGATGCACTTGTATGCGTGGTTCTACTTCTTTGTCGTACCATTGAAGTGTGTGGTGAAGTCACCACTCTTCTTTTGAGCGGTATAGGAAATGTGAACTTTCGGGTCGGGGTACGCGTGGCAACAGAAACAGGCGGTTGGAGACTAGTTGGCTTGACTCAGGATCAATCTCAATGGGGTAAATATATCCACACATTATCTTCATCTTAGTTGTGAAAGCAAATGTCTCTGTCGCCTCATCCCTTCTTTCTTCCTTATTTGTGTATTTCACTTTGTTTTGCCATCTACTTTGATGTGGTTGTATAGGGTGTGGGAAGTTAGACCGCTTCTCAGTAATATCAGGTCCCGTTTTGCGATTGAATGACTGAAATCACTATGAGACGAATGTTGAAGGTGGACAAAGTACTAAGCAAAGATGTCGGTCGATGAGGTTTTGAACCATTATTGATCGAAGTGGCTTGGATATGAGTTGCACATGGTGAACCGAAGCATACGTTAGAGTGAAATGTTATCTGAAGTAGGATTGGGTTGGAAGCAGGTTATGGGTGGCCGACCGAAACATGACATCAATTCATAAAGTTTCTGATTATTGATCTAATCCATGTAGCGAACTGCAGGCTGTCTGTCTGGGGTCCTTGAGATGATCTAAATCAATGACTAAAGACAACTGAAAATTGGTCCCAATGGCGCAGATATATTCACTATTCAATGTTTTTGAAAGTGTGAGCATTTTTTATCAACTTATTACAAATATATTTATCATAAATTGATCCTCTTCACAACGAAAAATTTCTTCATGGATGTAATTCACATCAATCTTCATTTATTGTGTGATTGGTCGCTTTTCGTTTCCCTCATGAATCAGTCGTATCTCAAGTTTTATTACATTCCATGTTTGATGAGTGGGTGTATCCAAGTGATTTAGTCTATTTTCTTCCGCTGTCTTACTTTCAGGTCACTAGTCCTTTTTTCAACTAGCCCTAATATTTGGTTTTACCATTGTTAACTGGCGATTTTGAAGCTTCATTGCTATTACTGTGATTATTATAAGGAATGCCATCAGAAGACAAGAAGAAGAAAGCCCAAGCGAAGAAGGATGCTGTCAAAAACGAAACCAGAAACAAACAAAGCCGGTAGCGTCAAAGACAGATAGCGATGGTGATGTAAAGACTGATGGTAATGAAAATACTACTGCTCTCAATGGGACAATATCTCAGCCTTCAGGTTCCAATCATTTCGCACGTGATGAGGATTTCATGGGTCAGTTTATATTTATTTTGTTTTCTGTATTGATCCCTAAAGGAAGTGCACTAAAGACCTGACTTATGTTTCCGCAGGGCAATTGTCTGACGCCTGATACTGAGTTTCATTTATTTTATCATATAACTGTAGACGTGATCACCTGCTTAGACCTCGGCTGTTGGCTAGTATCATATACCATCACACATTGTATGACTTATAGCTTAGCACATAAACATGTATCTGTTTCGGTTGCATTGTTTTTTAGATGAAATGACGAGTTAAAACAAGTGAGATCCATATTAGCTAGGTTTTTCACATAACTGTAAGTAATAGCAAGTAGTCAGAGAGAGGGTGTCAGCACCGCACAAAAACTGATAACCACGTAGTCATATTAAGAACTTCAGGATAATTGTGTTGGTTAGTGTATCACTAGTAAGTGTAAGCTACATAGAAGCACAGTTCAACACCTGTGACTATTACCCCAGCTTTCTACCGCCCAGCTTCAGAAGATGCCATTTGACTCCTACTAATGCCTTCTGAAAGTTTCTCGTACGTAATGGGATATCTGTCAAGTGTGTCACCACACTGAAAGTTATTTAATTCACCACTTACAGTCTTATAAAAGCTTGTAGGAAGTTTCGATTTGAAGGGGTTACTTTAAGTGGTATCTATCAAATTTCCACTCCATTTTATCTTCATCTATCGTAGACCTAGTTTGGGACGTCGTACGCTTCTGAACAAATGCATTCATGTAGAGAGAACCATTTAATATTTGAGACCAGTGAGAACAGATAAGTTTGTTGGATGTAGACGTTTTTACGTAACTTTGCTACTGATGGTATTCTGGAGAAAATTCTAAGTACATGGTGATAGTTTAGATCTGTTGCTCGGAGAAAAGTCTCAGTCCTTAGTATCCAAATAATGTCGGTTTTCTGTATCATACTTTTTCAGTTGGAGATTGGTGTGCGTTTGCGTGTTATATGCTTCTTACGAACCTACTGTGAAGTGCCTTTAGAAGATTAATCAAGTTATTAGCTTGCACCCAATCCTGATAACTAGTTGTCAAGTTACTTTGAGTAATCGTTGGGTTGATACACTCAAAATAAAATGTAGAAATAAGCAAGTTGCCGAAAAAAAGTGAAGCTTTTTATGGTTGGGGTTTAGAAAACTTTCAAGAAGATTATTTTATACTTGGATTTTTTTTCGTTAATGTCTTTATAATGGATGAAACTTTTGAAAATTATTACAGGAAGTGACGATGAGAATGAGCAAGTTCATCAGTCTTTGGTTGAAACTTTGGAATGTTTGGATCTTGTTAGTGAACGTGTTGCAGCACACCGATCTGTCACTGGGGTTCTGGCCTCTCATCCTGAGGCTAGAGATGTGCAGTTCTCAAATTTGAGCATCACTTTTCATGGAAGAGTCCTTTTAGCTGATACTCGTTTGGAGTTGAACAATGGTCGAAGGTCTGTTATCCGTTCTACTATCTTTATTGTCTTCATTTCTTCGTCTCATTTGGATTTAGATGCATACATTCAGTATTCAGTGTGTTTACTCGTTTTTAGAAGTAATCACCAATGATATCAAGTCAATAGAAAAAAAGTCAATAGCATAGTGCACATTCATATCTTAGATACATTGAGAACTAAGTAGTGTCAGGATTAAGATGCTAGCTTTAAAACCATAAATTCAATACCTGCACTAATCTATATGGTTTTCAAATGCAAGGTGCTCCAGGACTAGTCCACACCGACTACTTATTTCGTGATAAAGAGTGAATGCTAATCGGTTGATGAGGTTATGAACCTTTTCATTCATTTGTTTGTATTCTCTCTCTTCATGCACTTTTGTTCAATTTGATATCGTTCTTTTTCTACTCACCTCCTGTTTTGTGCATTTGTGATTTTTAATAGGTTGGACTGATACACTGTTGTTAGTGGTTTTATTTTCATTTTTTATCATCCTGTGCTATCCATTTCTTGTTAGCTTTGATTGTTAATCAGTATCATTATCCGTCAAAAGACAGTTGTGGTCTAACATTTTACCAGTAGATTTGTGACTCATCAGTGTAGAGGGTTAGATGACTTTCAACTAGTGAGCCAGGGGACTGAACCCTGCCCCACCTACTGAGGTTTGGGAAGCCAGGTGGTATGATCAATAGCCCTCACACAATAGGTGTGGCTCAGTGCCTACTGAACGAAAGTGCACAAGGTTGCTGAGTGGATTTTGATTTGACTGTCTTACCAACTTCAACAACAATACTGAACCTGACTGAGAATGGTTGCCACTTTTTCAAACGTTAAAGTAAATTCAAAACCAAATTAGATTCAAGTGGTAAATTAGTTAGAATGACATATTCAGTGTTTAGTACTTATAAGCACGTAAAGGGTGGAAACCTTTGGATTTATTGGATTCTATTTGGAACTATATTACCAGCAATCTTTTGCCCCTTATTTCTGTCATGCTAGCCTAGGATGTATATACAGTAGTAGCAATCAATGCATCCTATCAAGTCTCAAAGGAGATACACTTACCGTACTGCAAAGTAGCCACTTTGTTTGATCTGAATTCGACTCAGTTAGTTCGAGGGATTTGTGATGGCATCTATTCCTGAAAACTAAGATGTGTGTCATAGCGAAGACTTTCTACTCAGTTGTAACTGATTACAAAAGATCGTTAACAGGGTTGATCTCAGTGGTTGATATTTATCAGAAATATCCACTCCCTCTGTTTTATCTCAAACGTGAAAACCTAGAAATAGAACTACTTATAGATTTAACCTGTCCCTTTCCCATTCACGAAAGTGGATGTTCAGTAATACGTAATACCCAACACTTCCTTAGTTCCGTATCCATACGGAAAAAAAGATTTATTAGAATGTTTGATGGACAGAGCGATGGTAATCTGATCCGACGGCACTCTACCGAATGAGTTAGAGTCCATTTTGAACTCATTAATTGAATTATCCTTGTAATTTTATGAAAAACCATATGAAAAGAACAGGCAGAAGATTTGAAGCAGTAACTGTTCAGAAAAGCCCTTATTCATAAAGTTATAGTTCAATGGAGATATGCTTAGCGGGATCCTTCTCCACAGGCTACTGAGGACCATGAAAAAAATGTTTTATGCATCTAATTTGTGTCTGTTGTTTTCTGTTCGACGATTTGTTTCGTGTCAAACAGAGGATAACTTACTGAGTTTCACCACTTCCATGTGCAATTACCAGATTACTTGATCCTGTGGAGACAGTTATATCGAGTGTACGACTAGGCAACTTAATTAGCGTATTACCGAACATCCACCTTCGTGATTGGGAAAGAGACAGGTTAAATCTATAAGAAGTTCTATTTCTTCACATCTAGTTGATAGTGATCACAGAGCAGATAGAACGAAAGCATTCAAAGTCATTTACTCCATACCACGGAATCTTTCAGATGGAGTTCGAATGGACAATCCGAAGCTCTGTATTCAAAAGAAATTTGTACAGCTTTTATCCCTGCCTTCATCAGGAAAGACTTAATAAATAACCTTAACCATAAATTTTGAAACATTCTTCTCCCATGTTTTGTTTTATTCTTGTCACCTCTTTCACACCACTGCCATATTCACATTCAAACTTTATTTATTAACTGCCTTCATCCTCCTGTATTACACAACGATTCTGTCCTTTTCCGCGTTGTGACCTACCTTGTTTGTCTGCAGACCCGTTAGCATTGTCACTATATTCTGTACATTCGTACTATCCTTCACACCGCCACTAGTTTTATCATTCCAAAGTACACAGTCCTCATCCTTGATATCGTAGACTAACAAGTTATCTTGATTGGTTCATATTTTGTAGATTATTCATTTGTTTTCAGAGACAGTGAACAAGGTTTTTCTGTGTATACGCAACTTCCAGGGAATGAGTTGTAAATGTGAGACAATTGATGATGCCGTAGTCGTGCATTGAACGGATTCTTTCGGAGTATTATTCTTGTTGAGATATATTTTACTGTATCACACACTTTTGTCTGTGATAAAATAAGGTTCACCATAAGTGTGGACTTCTGGATACTATCATTAGCCCTCACATAGTACGTTTTGCTCATTGTTTACTGGAAAGGGTCGCCGAATACATTTCGTCAGTAATTACCGTCAAAAAACTGCTGGTTTATGATGACAGTAACAACAACAGTGGTAGTAATTTAAGTATTCTCATTGTAATAACTAGCAAACAGAGTTTTGAGCGAACACGTATTCTCAGTAAATTTTCATCAGGCTTTACAGTCACATTTACAAATTATACAGCAAAGTCACTTGATACCAACATGGTTAATTTACTTCGTGTTTAAGAATTTCTTGATAACAATAAAGGCGATAAAAACAAAAGCTAAATCTCGGAAGTTTATATATGCTCGGTAATCAATCCTTGTGTTTGTTGTGTGTTTGCAGGGATAGAGAGAAATAAAGTCAATGTCGCATAGCGGTTATATTATAAAATGTTAAAATTCTTAAGCAATTATGAAGCTGAGACCAAAATATAGTATCATATAGTGATAAGAGTACAAACAGAGATAATACCTACTCTTATCCCAGGTGCTTGCGAAGAAAATTATATCTGGGTTGAAGTTAAAGGCCATTGGAGGAAAACGGACCGAGTAAACATCTTGGTATGGCTTCTGCTATGCTTAGCAGTCAGACACGCACAAACTTAGAGTATTGTGATGCCACTTTGTAAATAATAGTAAATGCTGAGGTTTTGTCAATCTTATGGTCAGTATTAACCACATGGGCGAGTATTGAGCTTTTAATAAATTTCACTGTCCCACTCTGGAAAGTGTTCAGTAAAGTGATGATAGGTTTGCCGAGTCGTTCTACTTATGTAGCTATCTCCATAGGAGCAGTTAAATTTATAAATGCACAAAGACGTGGCCAGATTTAGAAGCCTATCCTTCAACTGCATTGGCATCATACAGCGAGTAGTAAATTACAAATGTAGTATGGAGGCATAAAAGGTTTTTTCTGTCAGATTTCTGGATTTTTATGTCAGTGTTTCAGCAGCCGCATCTCCTTTGAACGCTTAAGTTAGGTGTAATCGTTTCTTCGATGCCATCTGAAGCCACTTATCTCCAGCCGTTTTAAGTGTTATAGTCCTTACAACTTTTCAAGATAGCTATTCTCCTATGATGAGTTCTTTATCATTCCTATTTCATCGTTCAAAGTATCAACTGTGCAAATTTTACTGGCTCGTTACATCAGTGTACGGATCAAATTCCTTTTGTACGTTAGAAGGATCGAAAATGTGTATACTGACCGACCTATGACATATTGCGTCTGATGCTGCCATCTGGGGTCGTCTTGATGGCAAAAAAGAGAAATAGCAAACATCCGTTTTTCTCTATTTCACATGTGGGCTCGATTACCGGATGAGCACGGTTGAATGTATCGAGACGAATGTCAGGATTAGTATCGGTTTTGTACAGAATGATAATGTGATCGATGTATCTGCAATAGGAGGACAGTTTATCTATTGTCCTATGCAGTCATCCACCTTCCAATTTCGCTACAAACATGTCGGCTGGGAGAGTACTTAATGGTGAACCCGTTGTCACACCTTCCATCTGACGGTAAATTTATAATGTAATTGTAAAACCTAACGAGAATTTACCGAAAATACATGTTCGCTCCAAACTCTTTTTGTGGAGACAGTATTTTTCAATGCAGTGTAGGAATCTGTATGTTGTTTCAATGCATTTGCTCCTTGTTCCATGCTTTCAAATTGAATAAGCATTACCATTTTGTAATGTTAAATAATAGCAGCAAGAAAGACAGTAATACACACCTTCCAGTTGTTTTCACGTTATCGTTTTGCCTTTTTGATTTATTACTGCGCAGGCGGACGAATAAAAGACCACCCGTATGTTCTTTGGTGGAAGGTTATTCAACTAGCATAAAAGTTTGCAAGTCCTACTTACTCTATGCCTATCATAGTTATGTGATGAACTGTTGTGAACTTACCAGCCTACTGCCATTTTGCTGTCATTTGTTTTCCTAATTTTGCTGTTAACTTGTGCAAAAATAAATTGGAGACATTTTGAGAATATGCATGGCTACGTTGTACGATTTGTTAGAATTTGAATCGTTAAAACACGTGAAAAAAGGAGTAATTTGATATAATATGAAGTTTGGAAACCTTTTGATAGCCCAAAAATTTAAGTAGACTGTCAGCTTATCATCAGGAACATATCACCAGTTTCTGAAATATCTCGTTGTTATTTCGGAAACTGTTTAGGGTACGCGGAGTAGTTTGAGTCAGTAGGTATAAATGTCAACTCAAAATCAATTGATTTCACTCTATGCTGACGGCATTTTCGAACACTTATTTATTCGATAATTATTTATTTCCTATCTTCTTATGTCTCTATGGCTCTTTGTTAGTGCCAACTTTTTCACTGTTTCATTACATAGTATGACAACTCCGACGGACTTATTAATATAAGTTCTATATTGTTGTTGTGGCGAATTGGACAGTTTCGCAGTAGTCGTGAGTTGCACGTTAACGCTTATGCACTGAGTGTTTTGGACATTCAGACATTTAAGATATGTTGAGTTTTTAACATGTTCTCTCTTTTTATATTTAATATAGTTAAGGTTTGCGTTATTTACTGGATGAATAGTTTTTAGAAATGTTGACACTGTCTTTGTTTTAAGAAGTGGTTTGACCTATTTATTGCATTTAGGATGTGTTATGCATCGAAAATGCATCAGTTTAGTAGAGTACTGAGGTGTTTAAGGTATTTCTGTCTTCTCTAGTTGGTCACTACACTATTCAAGAGTTCTCATCTCTGACGTTCTTCAAGTAATCAGTTTAGTTTACAAATAATAGTGATACTTTGAATGTGAGTGTTAGGTGTGGACTTTGACACTCCCCACTATTTTTATCCTCGTTATTTTTCAGGTATGGATTAATTGGTTCAAACGGTTGTGGAAAATCTACTCTTCTTGCTGTCATAGCAAATGCAGAACTTCCTATACCACCACACATTGATATCTTTCTATTGCAACGTGAAATGACGCCAACTAGCAAAACTGCTCTGGAGTGTGTGATGGAAGTAGACGAAGAACGTGTACGTTTGGAGAAGGAAGCCTCTCTACTGGCAATGAACGACGATCCTGGTAAAATAAATATTTGCTATTATAGTCCCTTTGTTTTAACTACTTTCTTGGTGATAAGTAGTTTGCAATTTTTTCTTGCTTTGATTTCGATTATTTCTCTTCAGTTATCAAGCTTTAAGAGTTTATTAACATCTGAGCCGTTACAAGAGAAATTTTCACCCGCGGTGCAGACTAACTCATGTGTATCAAAAGTATTCGAACTTTAAAATTTATTGGTAAAAATGTTCGGTGTACATTCGAAATGAACATCTTTATTGTATGGCGTCCAACACACAGTGACCTTAGTGGAAGTAAATGAGCTAACAAATATCTTGTACGAAATATCTGAAAATACTTCTAGGTTGCATTATATTTTCTTCATAGTTTCTTACAACTAACAGGCTTTCGAACTCAAAAAACCTCTAGTGCTCATTGGTGACTAACTTCAAGAGGTGATTCCCGAAGTTGCAATGAGGAGTCAACCAAGTCGAACATGAGGACAGTTACTCAACGACGACATTGAATGTAGGTCGCGCTGTGTCATGAACTGACAGAAGTAGGGAATATGTGCCACTGGATGCCGACTCAGTGGCTCAATGGTAACGTGCTGGCCACGGAACTTGAAGGTCCTGGATTCAATCCCTGGTGGGGAGGAGCCATGAATGCTCACTGCTGAGGAGTCCCATACTAAGACGAGGGGGCTGTCCAGTGCTCCCAGGTTTCCAATGTTCCTCCAACTGATGTCAATCCATGATGAATTCCAGCAGACTGTCTGATGAAAATGCTAGGGGAGAACTTTCCTAGATGACTTTTTCTGACCTCAGTTGGTGTGGGTCGCAGCCTAGTGTGTTGAAATATCCTAATTAAGTCGTATTGCTCACTTCACCATTCTATATATAAATTAATATTGCTAGTTTGACTTCACTTTTTGTCTGGTGATTTTAGCATTTATTCTTTAGGTAGGTGATGAAGATATCAAATTTGAGAAATCAAGGCGCAACTCATCAACAGACTAGTTATATGAAGTTAGAAGTAGCATTTCTAACAATGCGTTGATTAATTGCATTTCCTTGTCTCAAATTCGGTATCTTCATGACTTGAAGTCTGTAATCACAGCTAATTAACTTGTTCATCACTTTTTATTATTGAATAATAGGAATGCAAAAGGCTTGGCTGGATTTGCCAACTTACACCACCTATGGTGCCGCAGTGATATCCGATTTTCTGTTAAGGGTCGCGTGTACTACACAGCAGTCGAGTCTGTTCTACTGTATAGCTGTGAAACGTGGCCATTGAAGGTGGATGACGTAAGAAGGCTTCAGGTGTTTGACCACCGTTGCCTTCGTAGGACAGGCCACCGTATTCCGTGCTGTCACCATGTGAGTAATGCAGAAGTCAAGTGTAGAGTTTTGGGAGAAGAGGTAAATCACTTGACATGGTTGTGAACCTTCATCGTCTGAAATAGCTGGTTGGGACACGTGTTACGTGTACCTAGTCGCCGACTGCCTCGTCACACAGTTTTGGCCGAAGTAGGTTCAGGCTGGGAAAAGGCCCGAGGTGGCCAGACTAAAACTTGGCATCAGTGTATGAAGTCTCTGACTGTTGTTTTGAGCCATGTGGGACGATGTAGACTGGGTGGTTGGGGTCCACGGGACAAGAGAAACTAGTGGCTGGAGACTCTAGGTGATATGGATGAGAACCGATGTCAATGGCGCAGATGTATAAACACATTATCCTCATCTTAACGACGCTATACCGAATCTCACCATTTTGTCATTCTTCGTTTCTCTCTTTTCGTAGTTTGTATTTCCTCTGACTGCATTCTGTTATCTTCATCTTGCACCTCACTGCCTTTTTACTTGATGTACTGAACCGTTACGCAGTACTGCCTTGTCCTATATCGATTTGGATGGATGGATGGTTGAATAATATTTCCTTTGATATATGTACTTATTTAAAGCACTTATTCGATCGTTTAAATATGATTTTCGTTGAAAAGGATTTTCCCAAGGAGAGTTGGGAAATGTACTGATCACATGTTAGCTTTTTAGAGCTAAAACATTTTGCTAGTGTGATACTCTTCTCTTTATGCCCAGTTGAAACGTATCATACATTGATGATGTTTACTTTATCTTTTTCACATTTTTAGAAACAAATGAACGCTTGTTGGAAGTCTATGAACGATTGGAGCATTTAGATGCTGATAAAGCTGAGGCAAAGGCTGCTGAACTTCTTCATGGTTTGGGATTTACAGCTGAAATGCAAAACAAACAGGTAATATATGGATAACAGTGGATTTTGCTTATTTTCTTCAACTAACATTAACTTCTTCAAAAGTTCAGTTTCATAATAAATATAATATGCAAAATATTTATCTCTTGTTTAGGTTCGTCACTTTAGTGGTGGTTGGCGAATGAGAATCGCTCTTGCTCGTGCTTTGTTTGTTCGTCCTGCTCTACTGCTTTTAGATGAACCAACTAATCACTTGGATTTGAATGCTTGTGTTTGGTTAGAACGTCAACTAATTAATTACCCCCGATGTTTGGTTGTAATTTCTCACTCTCAAGATTTTCTAAATGGTGTTTGTAATCATATTATTCTGATGAACAGACAGAAACTAACCTATTTCGGTGTAAGTCTACGTCCTTTCATATACCTGAATACATATATATATATATATATATATATATATATATATATATATATATATTACTGTTTTAATAGAATCATCTGTTTATTGAACATTTTGTGTCAACCTTTGTGTATGAATATCTTCGAATGCATGTAAATTGTAAAATTAAACAGCAGGGTATTGCTGCACTAACAATACCAATGGAATTGATTATATTGTCGCTTTTCGTATATAGGTTAAAATCGGGTTAATTGGTACAAGACATGTAACGACCAGCTGTTGGTACGTTTTCGTCTAGCCTGTAGGTAGGTACTTTGTTGCAGAGGGCGTGTAGAGCAGTGGAAGTTTGGTGGTGGCAACGAGAATCTAGAGGGGAAAAAAGGTAGAGGATAAGGTGAGATGACAACTCAGCAAGTACACAGGATGCACTTACATTTAATGGTAAAAGATAACTGATGGATGGTAGAGCTTGACAACGAATAGGTGAGACAGTCAAATAAAAACTAGAAGATGAATAAGTAAGATTTCGAATGCGTTACACTACTTCTGCTTCTTTGGAGGCCCTGTTCTCAGTGCCTGGTTGTACCTGGGTGAGTTAGAAGCTAGGTATGATATGTGAAGCCGGTGCGAGTTACGTTAGAGGGGATGGTTGCTGTTGGGTGCACGTCAATCTGATCGTGAGCGAGCCAGATCCCACCTCCGACAGCAGAATGTAACAACCAGCTGTTGATACGTTTTCGTCTAGCCTGTAGGTGTATACCGTCAACAAGCTTTATCGAAACTGAGGAATGACGGGAGCCTAATAATAATTTTAATAGTAATAATAATAAGTAAACCAGATAAACGGGGAGACAGTGTTATTGGATAAAGGCTTTCAAATAGACAGGTGACTCAGATTGAAATAGAAAGGCAGGGAAACAGATAACAAATATCCTCAGGTAATTAAAACAAATGGGACTATTCATGATTCAGTTGGGCCCATCACGGTTGTCTAGTCTATCGTATGGATTTCCTCTTCCTTCAGTTTTGGATTTGTCTAACTGTAAATACTACAGAGTTGGTTAGTATGAATCTTAGATCCCTAAGACAAATTGATAGCAAACAACAGTGTAAAAGATGTTTTCAAATTCATTTTCTAGCTAGATGATAATGTGAGTGTCAACGGGAAACAAATGATAACGCTTGATTTTTTCATTATTCACAAATGTGCGATTATTGCAAACAATAGAAATCTTGTGTGAACAACTATCGTAGAGGCAAATTAATATCAGGATTTCAGAGCGCATTCTGAATTAGTTACTTCTCATAGATATACTATGAATGCATATTTTTTCTTCAGTAACACACATTATAGACAAATGGATGAAATCACTTTGGGTTCACTAATTGGTTCAGCTTTAGCTGACTTCTTTCTCATCAAATTAAAGAAGGGACTGTTGAGAGATTTCATCAATACAATGAATCAGTACCACGGTTATACCGATTGTCAGGACGTAGATGAAAGAGAACTGTTAAGGGAATTTTTATGAGATACTTCCTTCGCTTTCACGTGTGAAGAATATATATATATATATATATATATATATATATATATATATATATATATATATATATATATGAGCAAACTACACTTTTTGGATGTTTTGCCAGGTAGAATTAGAAGATAGTTTAGTCATCAGAAGTGCGTACAGGAACGCTGCGTCTGTAGATCGGTAAATATTTCCCTAATCACTTACCGATTTGATACAAAATAAACTTAGTTAGATGCCTTACTGGTGGAGTGAGAAAATATATTTTAAAAATTTAGTACATATAGGGTTAAAATATATCCACATTTCACTAGTTGAAATAGGTTGTCTCGAGAGCTTTATAAACAGTCAGCAAGAGGAAGAAAATACAAATTATTAGAATTCAAAGTGAACTGCTGTTCATGAAACTGTAATTTAATGGAGATGTTGCCAGCAAAGTTATGTACCAAAGGCTATCTAGAGCTATTGAGCAGAGTTACAATACTCCTGCACTCTGTTGGTCTTTTTTTAGCCGATCGATCGTTGGAACTCAGGCGGAGTATAATTTGCCTAGTTTTACCTTTTCTATGTATATTTTCAAGTGCAACTGCTCCTTTGGAGAGATCTATTTCGGGACGTACTACTAAATGACTTAAAAGATGCGCTTCTGAACGTGTGTCCTCAGTTGGGAAAAGAACAAATAAAATCCATATGACGATCAATCCTTAGCTTATTCGGTTGATAATAGTTACTCACTAGAGTAAATCCATACATTGGGGATTATCTGTCGTATACCACCAAGACTTCCAAAAGGTATTTGAACTCTTTTACATGACGGGAAGTGTGGGAATTCGAGTTAATAATTGTAGCCTTCGCGTCCAGATGGTTTGTACGGATATCTCTCACGTGGTTACAGATGTTTGAGTTAGTACTACTTTTACCCATATAAGTAGTTGAACTGTGAAACCAATAATTTGTTTCTCATCACTGTTTTAAAATTCCCTTCTTAGGGTAACTATGATCAGTATGTGCGTACAAGATGTGAGTTGGAAGAGAATCAGATGAAACGGTTTAAATGGGAACAAGGTCAAATTGCTTCTATGAAAGTAGGTCTAACAGTTGTAACTGAATAGTATTCCACGTAATACATTATCACAATGCTTCAGTGATTGAAAAGTCTGCATTGTTCTTTCTTTAAGTTATCCATTTGCTTTATTTTTTTGGCTTGTTGAACTATAGATTGTTGATTATTAAGTTTTCAAGGTTCGTAAAGTGTAAGTTTCAAAACTTGCTGACTGTTTCTTTCTACAATATAAGTTTTCACTGTGATTGATGCAATATTGTTTGTGATTTCTTTCATAATGTGCTCATCAAATTGGTACCATACTTCACTATTCTATTCTACACTTAAGACCACTTGTGTGGGATATGACAATTCTATCTTGTATTCTTCTTGTTGGACTACTTGTAAGAGAGAAAGACTTTAGCGAACAAATTTGTTTTCCTTGATTACGTTTCGAGCATAAATTATTGCTCATAATCATATCAATGTAATCACACTTCTTTCGACATCTGATTTTATAGTCCTGTCACCTGATCTCTCTTTGTTTTTTTGTTTTTTGATTGGTAGTAAAGTTTTCCATATCTCTGGTATAGGTGTTGCGTCATTCCTATTACATGTGTTGGGTGTGAATTCGATGAACAAAGATTCAGTAATTAATCTCTCTCTCCACCTAGCTATATTAGACTTAAGTACAGTGGTTTTGTCCCATCCTATTGTGTGGTTGTGTGTTAATGAATGTAATGCAATGGCTGAGTGTTTTTCTAGGTTATTGATCTTATTGGGGTGTGTCGTTCTATGTTTAGCTAAATTCCTATGTTCTGTTAATCTAACTGACCCCGACCGGCTAGTTTGACCTATGTATTTGACATCACAGTCATTACATGGAATTTGGTAGATTATATTATTTTGCTTAATTGGTTCTATCGGACTATAAAATCAGATGTCGAAAGAAGTGTGATTACATTGATATGATTATGAGCAATAATTTATGCTCGAAACGTAATCAAGTAAATAATACTGTATCACTGTGCGCTTTATATCAAATAAACAAATCTAATATGGAACTACATTCTACCACAGTGCCCAAGTTTTTCACTTAAATTTGTTTTCGGTGATATCATTCTAAGATGCTGTACAATAGCATGCAAACACAATTAGTGTACACATCTAGTTAATCGTATGTATTGGTATGATGTAGTTGTATTTGAATATGATTGTGCAGTTTTTGAGGATAATTTTTCAGAAAACAAACTTCATGCATTTCGGTCCCTTGATAAGTTTGGACGAAGCGAGAATGACTTGAATTGCAGAACAAAGAGAAATCATTTTATTTCACGAATATTCTTAAGCTGCGTACAGTGTAAATTACGATAGTTATTAGCACATAAAATAATTTATAATTAGGTAATCAGAAATCTTAAGGTGTTCATCTTAGTCATTCTTAATCTATATACTATGTTAGAGAATCAGTTGTAGAGAGGGATAAAGAATGTAGGAAAGAAACAATTCATGCTAACTGACAGTAGGTGAATAAAATGAAGAATTATGAAATTAAAATGAAACAAAATGAAGTCAGAGATTGGTCACACTCTCATTGAAAGCGTTCTACAGCAAACGCTTTCGCAAAGCATAGTAATGCAGGCACATTCTGTACGTTTTGTATTTTAAAAACACTTCAAATACCAATTGCGCTTGTTAGAATCTTGCTTCTTTTCAGGTATAGATTCTTTGGGACATACTGAGCGGAACGAATGGATGCCCTGTCAGTCATTCCGATTCACTTGTAACCGCAAGTGTATGTAAATTCATAAATCCATTTGGAAGTGACATGAGCAGGACACTTTTTTAATTTAAACTGGTTCAATGTGCATGAGGTATCGTATACTGTTACAGATTTGGTTGTAGGAAAGCCTCTTTTTTAGTGCTCCCTTGATTCCTGAGTCTCTTCTCTTGGATATTGTATCTCTTCCGTGATGTCAGTTTATAAAAGTATCTGGTGACAGTTGGTATAATATATAGTGTGGAATGTAGACCACTCGGTTGGGGTCCACGTTGTGACGGGTGATCTAGTTGAAAAGCAGTCGTAATGGTGTAGTTGCATCTGCACGTTCTATTCATCCTAATCCTCATATCACATTTCGTTGTTTGTTTCACCCCCCCCTCTTCTGTTTTTCTTCTTTGTAACTTTCTATGGCTTTCGATTTCAGTTTTAGCCATTTCTCTGTATTTCACTTTCGACGTAATAATGTGGAGTATGGCAAATTTGCAGAGTAACTGGAAACCTCATTTCGATATTGGTTAACATTAACCCTGTATCGATTCTTTTCCTTTCAGTGTGAATATGTGACAGGTTACGTTAATGAGAGTTGTATTTTACGTATTCGTGCCTCTTTCAAAGATGAACATCTATTGAAGATAGTTTTTTTCTGACATGAATGTATGTAATGGAGTGTTTGTGACGTGTTTGTGAGACGTGAAAGATAACGTGACTGGGTGAGTGGTTTTACACTCCCCTAATCTAAGATCTGACTTTAGTCCGTAATATTTCGTTCCTTACAACCATATGGTTTTAGACTAGGCGGTTGCTTCATCCTACTAGGTGAATATTTCAGTGCCATTACCTTTCAGTAAGATGATTACTGCTGCTTAACAGGACAAAAGAAAAACTTGGTTAGAAAAGGTCTTTTCTGCTGAGAATTTCATGCTTAAGTGAACTGTGTATTGGTGACTGTTCCTACTGATCTTCATCTTGACTTATTTTAATCAGTAACTAGTATTCCTTAATTATATTTGTCATCACTAAATGTAGTTTATACTTGTACTTTGTATCTACAAACCTTAGGAAAAATTTTATTGAATTCTTCTGCTTTGTAGGACTATATAGCTCGATTTGGACATGGAAGTAAAAAATGGCTCGTCAGGCACAAAGTAAAGAAAAAGTCTTACAGAAAATGGTATCAGGTGGTTTGGCTGAACGAGTTGAAGGTGATAAGACATTGACATTTTACTTTCCTGATCCTGGAACTATCCCACCCCCTGTTATTCAGGTTCAGCAAGTCAGTTTTCGATATGGACCAGGAAAGGTGAGGGTATATATATAAATCAAGACAAATATCTACAGTTTTTTTTGTTTACCTTAATCTCTCTTATCCAAGCAGCAGTTTATTAGGATTTTTCTGCTTATTTGATGATGAAATTTTGCAGACTATTGTTTCAAAAACCTTTGCTGTTTAGGAATATCAATATTTTTGCTGCTGAAAGTAGCATGCCGTCTCAGAATCTAGCTGAAACCTGTACTGGCAGTGATAGTGCAATTTCATATTTCCTTTTATTGTTGATGTTTGTTCTGAGGCTTCTTTCTGAACCACTGAATGCTCCAACTGACGTTATCTCATTCATTTACATGGAAAAGTGGAATTTTCGCTTAACTTCAGTTATTCTTCATATGTCTGGAATTTGTTTTTTTAAGTGTTCTTTCCGCGTAATCGATATCCTTACAAATCGCAATTTGACTTTGTATCCACTATATTCCTTGACTTATGCATCTTTTTAGCTAAGCAAGCTGATTACCGAAACGTTGAAACAGTTATAATTATTGGTCACACGAAAAAATGATATCGATGGTTATAACTTTGGTATACAAAAGGGATTCAATATATTATTGTTTATTTCACTAGTGTGTAAAATACACCCATAATGATTTGAAGGAAGAACAAGTATTTCAGCGAAGGGTCTGTTCTCGACGATTTCATTTTCAAGGCTGCACAATATCAGATATGCATTTTTCTAGTGTAAGGATTTGATAGTTGAAAACAGTTTTTCATGCATATCAACACAAATAGTGTCAACGAATGAGTTGTCATTAAAATCAAAAAAACTGATGAGTAGTGAATATTAATCAAAATAAGTTTGGAACTGAATTGTGATCAGGTAGAACATAGCAACAAGAATGAGTAGCAAATTACTTAAGAAGTGTATATTGTCGAGACAGAAAGATGAAAAGAAAAAAAAGAGGGAGCAGAGGAGACTGAAAACTAAGACCATGAAAAGAGAAGGGGTTGAACAATTTTCTCTTGGGCACACAGTTCAGGCTTCTCCATTTGGATGGCAAGAGCTTTGGCGATGCAGAGAGTGCGAAGATATACAGCCTTTGGAAGGTTTTTTTTCCACTTTATAGATGACTTCAAATGAGTAAGTTTTTGAGATAAGGTGATTTGTATTCACAGTGTGTTCAATTATAGAACTCCTTATCGCTTCATTGTCACCTCTTTGTAACCACGTGAGATAGTGTTCGTGAGCTGTTTTGGATAATAGTCGCGTCGAATGCCCTATATGCTTGGCTCACTAGTGTTCAATAGAAAATTAATTTTTCCTTGAGATTCAGTTACCTTTAGGGATATTATGTCACGTATTTTTTCTATCTAGAGGTTTGCGGAGGTTTACTAATTGATTTTAGGTTGGAGTTCATCACAGACTGATATCAGTTGAGGGGACATTGGAAGCTCTGGAGAGTTGTTGAAATGGATTTCTATGCACAGTGCTTTCGATTGTTAACTCTAAAAACTCATCCATCTGTATTGGTCGGTCACGGGAGTGCAACCAATTTCATGTTGTCTAGTCCTGAGTGCAGATCGAATTCTATCCATCATATTTGCAATGTGGCAACCAAGCTAGGAAGCTCAGCATCGCGGTACACATTAGTAGATGTTAGTTGGTTGGAGGCAATCGGCAGGAAGCCCTGGACCTAGGTTTCGTGCTTTTTGGCACTCGTCAGCAAGGCGTATCTGCAACCTCGACAGAAATGATGTCCCGCCCGGCGCGAATAGCTCAGTGGTAAAGGCGCTGATTACAACACTGGGTGACGCGGGTTCGAATCTCGAGCGGGACATCAGTTCCATCGAGGTTGCAGATACGCCTTGCTGATGAGTGCCAAAAAGCACGAAACCTAGTTCCAGGGCTTCTTGCCGATTGCTTCCAACCAACTAACATCATCCGTCTGTGCTTCGGACTTTTTTTCTCTAGTTTTATATGACGTCGCTGAAATTTTACAGTTGAATTGGTTTTCATATTAAGCAAATGAATTATATCTGATGAATGCTGTTTTTTTTTTATAGTGGAGTAGTGTGGTGAAGAATAAAGTTGTTGCTTACCAACGACCTGCAATGTTTAAAATAACAAAAATTAATTTTTAGTTGTTTTTCTTTCATTTGAAAATCTTTTCATTTAGCCGTGGATTTACCGTAACCTTGACTTGGCAATCGATTTAGACAGACGTGTTGCTTTAGTTGGTCCAAATGGTGCAGGTAAATCAACCCTGTTAAAATTAGTTGCTGCTGAGGTAAGCGTTCTTAGATACCTTTTTTTCTTCTATACTTTATACATTTTACTACTGTACAAAACCAGTTAGTTATTTAATTTTTATAAAAATTACTAATAAAGTGGTTTTATATTCGTTTGTATTTTAATTAATTAATTAGTTAATTTTTTTTACACATACTTTCTTCTCTATGTAACCAAGTTGGATCCAACTGATGGCCTTATTCGTCGACATTCACATATTCGTATAGGTCGTTATCATCAGGTGAGTATATTTTGTGATGATTATATGATTATTTCATTTTAGCATTTACATGAAATGTTAGATATTAATTTGACTGCAGTTGACTGGATGATGCAGTGTTATCCAGAAATTAAAGAACGTGATGATATGAGAAAGTTACTTGGACGTTATGGTTTGACAGGACCTCAACAAGTTAGTTTGTGTATATTGTGTTCATGTTTATTGTACATTGGATGATTCATTCTGTTAGTTTTGTTGACTGAGAATAATAACTATCTTAGTGTTTATGCAAGCAAAAATAATTTCCTATTTATATAATAATTTTAGGTTGTGATTCATCATCATCTGGGAGCATTGGATAACAAGTGTTTCGTCCTAGTATGGGACTCCTCAGCAGTGCGCACCATGGCCCTACCCCACCAGGGATCCAACCCAGAACCTTCAAGTTCCGCGGTCAATATCTTACCATTGAGCCACTGAGTCGGAATCCAGTCGTCCAAATTCCCTACTTCTATCTAGTTCACCATATAACGTGACCTACACCCAATGTCAACATTGAGTAACTGTCCTCATGTTCCACTTGTTTGACTCTACTGGTCACGAATTCTCATTGAAACGTCGAGAATCACCTTTCGAAGCTAGTCACCAATGATCGCTAGGTTAATTCTATCTGGAGGTTTGTGAAAGTTTATTAGTTGATTTTAGGTTGGCATTCGATCCCTGGCGGGGTCATGGATGCACACCGCTGAGGCGTCCCATACTGGGACGAAACAGCTGTTTTCCAGTACTCTGAGATTTCCAATGTTCCTCCAACTGATGTCAATCCATGATGAATTGCAACCTGAAATCAATTAATAAGCCTCCACGAACTTTCAGGTAGAACTACGCAATGATCGTCCACTTTTTAAGATTCTGAAAACCTACTTCTTAAAAATTGCACTGCAATTAATTTCGATTGTAGTCTAGTTGTCTGTGAATGGTGATAAAGTGTCGTGATATCGTTAGAATTCCCTAGTAGTTTGTAATCGTCAAATTTAAGTTCGTTTTAATTGTTAAGAAACGCTCACCTTAAGGGATGGTTTCTACTGTTTTAGTAAGAAATAGTTGCATTTCTAAAGGTAATTAAGTGTTTTAGGTATCGAAATTTTTCATGTGAATTTCAATGGGGCGAGACACACCAAATATCCTCAGATACGTAGTCAAAGTTTTCAAAAGATTTTTTGTGGGGACTTGATTAATTTCAGGGTAGTATTCACCAGTCAGAGAACCATTGAAATGCTGGGAGCCTTGAACAGATGTTTCGTCTCAGTATGTGTATCCATCTCAGAATGCATTTTGTCAACATCTTCTTGCACTACAATAGCGCTTTGTGTGTTTCAATTGTGTTTGAGGATATTTAAGTAGAAGGCTGATTTCTTAAATTTAGGAGGTCAGAGATATAGGATGGGAACATTGAGATGAGCATTATTGTTATACAGCGCTAAACAGCCAATTTCTGTGTGATTTAGAGTTCTAAATTGGTTAGATTCTTTCTTATAAAATGAAGGATTTCTCTCTTTCTATGTGAACTGAAATTGAAGAATATTATATTATTACATCTGAATGCAACGGGATTGTGACCCTGAATCTAACCTTTCTGACTTCGTTATGTCTGAAGTCTGAGTGAACTTTGATCCGTAGGTGCCATTCTGTCACTTTAATTTGGTGGTAATTTCAATTTAAGCCAAATCAGGAAACTCAACATAAATATTTCATCTACACAGTCGTAGATAAACATAGGATGTCTGATCGCTTTTTTTCCCTTAATCATTTCAACTGTTCAGAATAAAACGAACGCTCTCAATAGTAGTGTATCAGTCAAAGTTATGATACTTCGAAGCAGAATAGAAATGTAATGTAAAAGGAAAACAATGAGTTGACAGGAGCAGAATAGATGTGGAGTGATACTAATGATTTAGTATAATTTAAATAGTTGATGTATGTAGATACTTTCGATAGATTTTTCAGCTTGTCACATGAGGGTTCTTACCATGAAACGCAACTGAGGCAAGCAGTCGAAGAATTTCTATCCCCTTAACCGTTTTTTGACCTATTCCTGTATACCCCTCACATGTTGGTCAGTGTTTATATCCGTTCCGAATAAATGTCATTAATGAAGTTCGATTAGCGTTTGGTTTATCCTTCATCAATTTTTTTATATCTACTAAATATGAGGCAAATTGAATGGATGTCATTTATTCTTCTCATGTGGGTAGCGTGAGTTAAGTATCATTTTAACACATTTGTCGGAATTAATAACTGACGTAATATCTATGATCTACGCGCTTCATGTATCATAAAATGTACCGTAACAATTCTCTTAGTAAGGATAAGAATCAACTATAATGGTTAACGTGTATACTCACTGATGAATTGGAATTTTTTTAAATTTTACTTTCAGGTATGCCCAATTCGTACACTGTCTGATGGCCAAAGGTGTCGTATTATATTTGCTTGGCTTGCTCAAAAAGCTCCTCATCTTTTACTGTTAGATGAACCTACTAATCATTTGGATATTGAAACGATAGATTCATTAGCTGATGCTATTGATGATTTTGGGGTGGTTTACTACTTGTTAGTCACGATTTTAGACTAATATCTCAGGTATGTAACCGGAAAAATTCTGAAATATTAACTGTGTTTGTTTTGGCTATCTTTATCATTTTTTGGCTGTAATCTAAATTCGCAATAGTAACAACAACAACCAAATAGAATTAATCTAGCGCTCATTGGTGACTAGCTTCGAAAGGTGATTCCCGAAGTCCCATTGAGAATGTCATGGCCAATGGAGTCAACTAAGTTACTCAGTGATGACATTGGATGTAGATCGCGATATATCGTGACTGACAGAGGTAGGAAATATGATCCATTGGATTCTGACCTAGTCGCTCAATGGTAATGTACTGACCACGGAACCTGAATGTTCTGGGTTCGATGTATGGTAGAGTGGGGTCATGAGTGAGTACTGCTGAGGAGTCCCATACTAAAACGAAGTGGCTGTTCAGTGTTCTCTCCAGGTTTCCAATGTTCCTCCAACTGATGGTCAGTCTATGATGAATTCCAACCTAAAATCAATTAATAGATCTCCACAGACCTCCGGGAAGAATAAAAACTGTTGGGTTTTGTGTCCAAACTTCACTTCTACTCTTGACAGCATGTGTAAACAACTGTGATAGAAGAAGGATGCTCGTAGAAATCATTCATATCCAATTGCGCATGGGTTGATCTTCGTGGGAGGCCTTTTATTGAAACTTGTCTATAAAGATAATCCTCTTGGATAAAGATGTTGAGAAAGCATAGCATCGTAAACACTTAGAAGTTCCAGAATATTTAGGTTACCTTTCTGGATTTTTCTGGTTCACTTTACGTGGACGCTTATTAAGTACTAAGGTTTCTTTTATTCCTTATTTCTTGTCTTCGATTTTTATTTTCTACTATTTGGATATTACACCTTACTTACTATTTGAACATTTCATTAGACCTAATGTAAACTGAAACAAGACGAGATTGTTCAAATGTGTAAGTCTTTAATGTAGACACAGGTCTCGTCTCCTTTTTATTCTACTATCCAACATAGCTAGTTCTCGTTTATCACAACTGAATTTATGCCTATCAAAAGTGTACTTATATGCTCTGACTTCAACACATGTCATATGTTTATCTTCACCATATTTTATGATTAAAGCTAAATATTCTAAGAGCTGTTTGTTCATAACTATCCATAATTAGTTCTGTCACGGTTAATGATCCTGTGACATACTTTTCCGTTTGTTTGTACAGTTTTTCTTGAGACTTCAAAATTGTTTCAGTTACGCATATTTCTACTATGAGCATGATTTTTTCAAGTATTACTTTAGTTCGGAGTGTGAGTTCCTGGTCAGAAGTGATTTCATTCCTAACTGCCTCTAAGACCATATCTTCATCGACTGAGATAGTTGGGACACATGTTACGTAACCCTAGTCACCGTCTGCCTCGTCACACGATTTTGACCGAAGTAGGTCCAGGCTGGAAAAAGCCTGAGGTGGCCAGACTAAAACATGATCAGAAGTCTTTGACTGTTTGTTTTAGCCATATGGGGCGATGCAGACTGGGTGGTAGGGGTTGGCGGAACAAGAGAAACCAGCGGTTGTAGACTCTAGGTGATCACATGGCTGAGAACCGATGTCGGTGGCGCAGTTGTACACACACACACACACATTATCCTCATTTTAACGCTGTATCGATCTCTCATTTTCTCATTCCGTTTTCACACTTTATATTTCTTTTGACTGCATTCTGTTATCTTCATCTTGCACCTCACTGCCTTTTTACTTGATGTACTAGTTGATATGAGCTGTGTCACCTCGAACCGTTATGCAGTACTGCCTGGTCCTGTGTTGATTTGGATGGATGGACTAGGACCATATTAATTAGCATATCGGTGTAGAAACTCGTTATATCAAAGCTAACCATTTTTCCATCCCCTTCTAAATGCAAGTCATCTAAGTTTTATGTAATTTCATAATACTTTTTCGGTTTGAATTTAAAAAAATTCCTTAATGGACCTAGTGTTTCCGCTAAGCTCTTAAAAAATTCATAAACTGAAGTGTTTCTAAAGTCTACGATAAGTCTAATAGAAAAAAATGGTTTATGAACCTTGAAGTACCATATATCCTATAATTAAAAGTGAAATGGAAATCTGGATCACGACAGGATTTGAACTAGTTACCTCTGTGTCGCAGTTCACTCTTCATGTTTGAATTTCATCATTCACATTGGGTACCAATTAATAATTCATGCGTAAGCAATCTCTCAACGAATATTTTTTTTGCATTTCGTTTCTTTTTAGGTTGCTAAAGAAATATGGGTGTGTGAAAATGAAACAGTAACACCATGGGAAGGTGATATTTTCTCGTATAAGAAGTATTTGATGCAGAGCGTTTTGGGTGAACCGTAATACTTTGAACACGTCTACAAGATTTTTTGAATATCACCAGTTAATATTTGTGTACAGAGCCATAAGTTCCCCGAGTTTTACATAAATTTGCACATTTTTTCAGTTGCGTTTTACATTTTCTTGGATATCAATATAAAGTGAAGTTATATTCAAACTGAATAGAATGAATTAATGAATTTTTCCTACGAATTTGTTATTCGATGCTGTTATTTATTCATCTATCCATAGTCTGACTTCACGGGGATTGATCTATTCCCTGGGGGGGGGGGCAAGTGGTTGATTTAGAGTATGCAGACGATATTGTCCTGCTGGGTGACAACGCTGACCAAATACGGGGCTTCTGGACGCGTTGAGCAAAAATCTGAGTATATTTGGCATGCGTCTCGCAACTTTCAAATGTAAGATGATGCTCCAGGACTGGTCTGATGCAAGTACTCCCAGTTTAATGATAAAGAATGAAATGTGTCGACCACTTTGCGTACTTGGGGGAACGCATCAGCTCGAACAAAGTGGTTGCTAACGGAATCTCATATAGGATAGAAAAGGTCTATTCAGGATCTGCCAACTTGCGACACCTGTGGCGTCAACTACCGAGATATCCGACCATCTCTTAAAGACGAGTATACTGCGCTGCTTTGTGTCCTGTCCTGTTATGTGGCTGAGACATGGCTGTCGGATGTAGGCTCTATGAAACGACTACTGGGTTTTGATCATAAGTGTCTTCGTAGCATTGCTCGTGTTTAGTGGAACCACCGTGTGAGCCATGTTGTCGGGTGAAGGGTATTAAGCAAGATAAGGAAGTCGTTTAATGAGGTTGAGAACCTTTATCGACTGAGAAGACTTGGATATGGGTTGCACATGCTGAGTCACCACCCACCGTGACGTGCATTGCTTGGTGAAGTTGGATTAGGTTGGAAGAGGGTTCAGAGTAGCCAGATCAAAACCTGGCACTAGTCGATGAAGTTGGTCAGGACTCAATCAGCTTATAGGATGAATGTCAATGCGTTTATGCCAACATTTCTATGCCAGTGGTTAGTTCAATTAAATAATTAGTAAACTTGATAAATTGATTCTTCATTCCCACTTTAGGTAAGTGATTAACAGATTTTATCCACTTCCACCGGACAATATCTAATCCCTAAGTATTTGTTACAAGTATTTCTCTGTTAACATTGATCGTATAGTTTAATCTTAAGCTTGAATATTCTCAGTGACCTTTATCTTCAGGTGTTTTATTCTCCCACCCAACTTTGTCTACTTTGATATCACTCTTATTTTATCCATTTGATTACTACTGTGAAGTGTGGTAACCTGAGCCGATGCGCTCCTGTGCGAGGTTTCACGTTGATTCTGTCTATCTGTCTATATCAAATATACTATCAAAAATCGTTTCCTTCAAGTATTCATTTACTGTTTATTGAAGTCAGTTATGAATTGCGGGTTCTTGAAAAGGTTCACGCAAGTAACTATCAGAGATCAAAAAATATTCTACTTCACAATTTTCCTATGTTTACATTCTTAACCTCTTTGTACGGCACTATCTGCTGACGTCATGTATCCTTAGGCACTTTACACGAATAATAATGACTGACACCTAATTTTTGCTCAGATAGTGGGTGATACATACCTTAGAGTCGTTTCTGTTGATGCAAAATCTATAGCCCTTAGAGTTTTCACAAACGTCCGTTGAGATATAGCCTTTTGACCTAACCGGATATCATTAATTATATTATTTGATTCCCGAGAGCGTTGAATCTGACACAACATCGATTGGTTACTTACTGACTATGATAATGATAGTTTAAAAAAAAGGTGAGCTGCATGCTACTTCTACAGAAGTTGAATTTCATCTTTTTTAATTATACCTTTAAGTATCCTCTTGATTCACATTCCTGACACGATATGCTTTTATGAACTGGCACAGCTTGAAAAAATACTAAAACATTATAGGGACTTTTGTTTTTCATAATTGCTTGAGATTTTATCTCACTTAATGGAAGCCGGCTCAGAATCTTTCAATGTAATTGTATGAAGATTTCTATGTGAATGGCATTGTGAAAGATAGTTGCTTCCAGGCGTCATTGAGTATACATTGGTTTACCTAAACGAAATGTTGATCGATGCTCCATATCTTGTGGATTTGTTTAACGGATTGCTAGTCATGAAGGAATGTTTGGGATGCCATCCAAATGCACATTGTATCTTCAGAAATGGTCTTCAATAGTGCCTAGACTAACAATTGAGATTGACGTGGTTGAGTGCGTCGAACTCTATAAGCACTTACCTGGGAAGTCGGATCAGCCCTGGTGGCTTGATGGCCGACGAAATCTCTGCACAGGTGCAAAAGGTTCAATTGGCTTTTGTCAATTTACGCCTTCTGTGGCGCCGCCGCGATGTCCGGTAGTCTATTAAGGGTCGAGTATACTGTACTGCAGTCCGCTCTGTTCTACTGTAATGATGTGAAACGGCCAATAACGGTAGAAGATATGAGAAAGCTTCACGTATTTGACCACCGTTGCTATCACAGCATAGACCGTGTTTCGTGGTGTCACCACGTGAGTAACGCAGAAGTCAGGTGTAGAGTTTTAGGCAAGAGAGGTAAGATAGTTGTGAACCTTCATCGACTGAGATGGCTGGGACATGTATTACATATGTCTAGCCAGTCTGCCTCGTTGCACAATGTTGGCCGAGGTGGGTCCGTTCAGGCTGGAAAAAGGCTCAAGGCGTCTAGACTAAAACATGGGATCAATACATGAATTCCTTAGCTGTTCGTTTGAGCCATGTTGAGTGATGCAGACTAACCGTTTGGGGTCCGCGGAACAAGAGGAACCAGTGGTTAGAGATTCTAGGAGATATGACTCAGAACCGATGTCAGTGGTGCATCCTCATCCCAATCACTATACTTAATCTCATCATTTGATCTACCTCTCTTTTTCTACTTCTGTTGACTGATCCTTCTTTCCTTCTTTATTTTTCATTTTATTGCCTTGTTACTTGATGTGCTGATATGAGATATGTCAACTTGAACCTTTACATAGTAATGCCTAGTTCTGTGTTGGTCTTGATGATTATAATGTGACATGCAAGAAGCAATAAACTGAGTATTGTTTTGATTTTGTTAGTTTGATGACTGCTCAGATGTCTTCAAGGTATATATTGGCATAGTGGAACGTAATCCAATATATTCGACCATCTCGCTTGACCTAAAACTAGCTAATAATTATTCGAAGGAATTCAGTAGTATTTGTTATGAACTGAAAGTGATAAAAAGCTCTGTGTCGTGTGGTGGAATCATAGCAAGTATTTAGTGTGGGAAAATAGATCACAGACCAAATCCTTGATCACTTCATCGCAATCGTGTAGTAATTCTTGGCGTATTACATATATCTGGAGAAAGCTACTAATCTTGGAATATACGGTCACTAAAGCGAGAAGTTTTGTCATTGTCCCAATATGTAATTGCGACCGAAATACTTGTTTGACAGTTTTCCCATTGCATAATACTGTGTTTTGTGCTGCGAATGACTGTCGAGCTAACATCGAATCTAAGATGGCTAGTATATCCATAAAATAAAAGTATGTTGGGACCGAATACCCATCGATGACACTGGATGATGTTAATGCCATATCACGAATTTGCAGAGGGAAAAAGGGAACCATTAGAGTCTGATCTAGTGTTTAAATGTTAATATCCTTGCTGTGGTACTTGAGCGTCCTTAACTTACTCAGTTTATCACTGTTAATCGTTTGTGTTTCTACTATCCTGGTCTTGATAGGTAATTCAGTTTTGTGACTAGAACTCCATAGGACTTATATATATGCGGACTTGGTTAGTGCGACAATTTTAATTTTTCAACATGTAGAATCACGGAGTGAGCAGTGTTGAGGTCAAGCGAAGGGTACTTGGCAAGATAGGTAAGTCGATTGATGAGGTTGCGAACCTTTGCTAACTCATTGACTGCTGGTCTGGTCAATAAATTGACCCTTTGCTTTCAGTTGGAAATGATGAAGTTAAGAATTACAAAGTTATTGCCAGATAGTAACCAAGTTAATACTTTGGTACTTCTTGCCGAAGAACGACTTTTCGTAGCAGAATACAATTTAACCACGAAATGAAGTGAAAAGCAACACCACTAATAAAGCTGTGAACATAAGTTATTTGATCTTTGATACTCATCAGTAATGTATTTCTAATATATGGAAAGCACCACTTTTTATGTAAAGCTCGCACCTGCAATACAACAGTACACACGTTCATAACACAACTGAGTACTATTTACGTCAACAAAAAATAACGTAACACCCAAAGGATATATTATTGCTTGACGATCTCACCCCTATAAGTTTATTCAGACATGCATAAGGAGAAGTAGGAAAAATACTATGCATAATACAGACACAAACAGTAGTAGTGATAGGACTACGGGAAGGACTTTAAAACCACCATAGTTCTGCTGTTCAAAGGGAGGACATCAGAAGCCATACTTAGTATTTACAATAAGAAATAAGAGTGGCGTTTAGGACTATAAAGTTATTTGAAGACGAACTTTGTTGGTCAAAGATCTTATCGAATCTGCTAAACAAAGCAATTTATTATGTATGATAATTATGCTGTATTACTGTGTGCTTCATCAGACAAACAATCTAGTATGGAATTATTTTCTACCACAGTGCCAAAGTTTTTCCCGTACATTAAAGCAATTTAATTTGCCAAATCCCATGCAAGTCAGACTATCCTACAGGGGTTAATTAGATTATCGGAACATAGGGAATTAGTTAAATTTAGAAGGATAGACTCTGGAAGATAAGAAATCGAGAGAAGAGCTCAGCCATGTTTACTGTTGCAAACAATCACGCAGTAGTTTGGGATAGATAGTGCTGGAAATAATCTAGATTGGCA